CTAGCCACGGGTATGGATGTCATCCATGTCTTCTCCTCTTCTCACTTCCAGGCTGTCAAGTGCTGTGTGTTCTATGTCTTTAACAACACCCCTCGACTCCCACCACAACTTTGCTCCATCCCTTGGGCAAGCTAGCATCATCTTTCCCCCAGGACAACATCCATACAGACATTTGGAAAACAAGGGCATCAGCAGGACTGGCTGCCCAGGCAGGCCCAGCCATATCCTCTCCACACACACACAGCAGGGCTTCAGTCTAATGTGGAGAGCCTGTGAGCTGCCCCCCTCTACACACACACAGCAGGGCTTCAGTCTAATGTGGAGAGCCTGTGAGCTGCTTTCTTTCCTGCCCAGATGGAGTTCAGCAATCATGGGGGCTCCTTCTGGACCTTGTGCTGTTTGGCATCTGCCAACCCTAGCTGTTCCCCGTTCGGCCTATTTCAGATTACACTCAATTTGCACAGTTGGGGATTTGGCCTTTCCCTCTGTGTCTGTCTACCACCTACAAAGCTTGATGCCAATGGAGAAAGTAAGACACTGTGCACCTGCTGGACTGCAGCAAGAGTTCTAACATGAGGAAGGAATGCAAGCTGGTCAATGGGCAGTCTGGGTCCACTGTGCTCTGTTTTCTAGGAGACCAAAAACATGGAGGCTGGGCTTGGGGTTGAGGCAAGCCTTTCCTGCAGACCTGGAATTCTCACTTCCTTGAGTCTATCACAGGCAAGGGAGACTCCCTGTTTTGCCCACAGCAAGTTAAGAATGAATGATCTTCACTCCTCAGAATATGGGTCTCACTTTCCTACCAGCCAATTTATAAACATCTTCAAAGAGCCGCTGTCAAAGGCTCTTTCAGCATCCCTTCTCTGCCGTGGAGGAACCTAAGAAAAACCAACACAATTCTGACCTTCCTCTCTCTTTAAAAAGACTGTGTGTAGGTGTGGTGTGTATGTGTGTACGTATAGTGTGTATGGTGTGTGGTGTGCATGTGTATAGGTATGGTGTACATGTGTGTAGGTATAGTGTGTAGGTGTGGTGTGTATGTGTGTAGGTGTATAGGTGTGGTATGTATGGTGTGTATGTGTGTATGTGTGTAGTGTAGGTGTGGTGTGCATGTGTGGTATGGTATGTAGGTATGTATATGTGGTAAGTATTGTGTATATGGTGTGTAGGTGTGGTGTGTATGTGTGTAGGTGTGGTGCACACACTCGCCTATGTGAGTACAGGCATGTATGTACTGTGATATGTGTGCATAGGTTAGAGAGCTAATCCTCATCTACTTTTTTGAGGCAGAGCCTCTTGCTTGCTGCTGCACACTCTAGGCTAGTCAGCCCCAGAGTTTCCAGGGCTTTCCTAGCAGTGAGTCCCAGTCTTCCCAGGAGAACTGGAATTATGCACTATCATGCTTAGATTTAGTCCTAAGCATTAGTCCTGGAGATTCCAACTCTGATCCTCCTGCATTTGTGGCCAGCATTTTACCCCTGAGCTACCTACTGCCCCAGCTCAGACCTTCCTCTCTTTAAAGAAAGTGGAATTACTTTCCACCACTTTGCAACCATGACTCGCTAACTCTGAGACAATTAGGGAAGCCAGGAGCGCAGGAAAACAGAATCTACATATGAAAATGAGGTTCCTCATGTGGAGGCCCCTTAGGGACTCTAAATTTGCCTCTGCGGTTCCTGGCATATCCAAGGGCAACAACAACAACATTTCAAATGGGCTAAAGGTGAAAGTCAATTTTGTGGGTCACTGAAGAACAAACACGGGCAGATCCGTGCAATGTGGGTCCTCCGGCTACACATGAAGCACACTGCCATCTAGGACAATCTGAGTGGCTGGCTGGCTGCAGGAAGCCCAGGGACAGAATGGCTTGCTCTCCAGTGTTGATGCAGGACCATGGAAGACCCTGTTGGTATCGATTTTCTTGTCTATATCCTATAAAACACACCATGCTCCAGCTTGTTCTTGAAAAGTTTCATTATAGTGGGTTTGGGAACTGCTACTGTTTTACAGGAATGTCTAAAGATGATAGCTGTGACACATGAAGTAATAAGTTGAACTCTGAAAATGACAGTCCTTAGTGAGGAGGCCAGATTAAAGCTGGACCCCAAGTGAACTTCATACTCTGCCTGAGACTGGTATAGTCCCCAGATATTACTGACCTAGGAAATGGCCATCCCTTTCTGCAGCCTTTCGCCTGGGTGAGAATGTGAGCAATGGTGCCACCCTAGATCAAAACAGGTCTCTATGTTGCCAAAGGCAATGAGCTTGTGCTGTGGAAATTTCCATCTGGAGCCCAGAGTTTTCCAATACTCCCCTGCAGGCAGATGCCTTTAAAAGGCAGATCAATAATTCGGTTTCCTTTCTGGTAATTCAATTTGCTGTCTGCTGTGTTTCTGGAGCCTTCTTGTTTAGCATGGCCTTGGGCTCACACTTGGGCTATTTAGCACAGGAGGGTATATCTGGAAAAGCCACACATGGTGACGTCTGGTTTCTGGGATGAAAACTCAGAGGGGAGGCTGTCATGATAAAAACAAGACAAACACTTTAACTACTTGCGTTTAGAAGTTTGCTGGCTTCCCGAAGCCCAGTGCTAAATATGACCTTTGAGAAGCCCCAGGCAGCAGACAACAAAGGCATGTTTAAAGTCCCTGTCTGTGTCCTGGTGTCAACAGGGCAGCCAGTCCTGTCCTCAGATGAGGGCAAGTGGGGAATGAGAACAGCTCCTGCCTTAGCATGCCCGCCACTCACACACAAGTTCTCGCCTGTCATTGCTGCCAGCAGAGGGCCAGAGAGCGTCAGCGCATCAGAGCCTCTGCTGTCAGGACCGATGGTTGAGTCTACACCAAAGTCACCTTTCACTGTGGGTTTGGGGTGGTGTGAATGAAATGCTCTTGAAGCTGAGCTTCATTTCAGCGTGGGGCAGTGTTAGCCAGAGCGGGACCTGCAGTCTCCTGAGGAAGCTGTCAGACAGATCTCCCAGTCCCTCCCCCCCCACCCCCAAGTCCCACTCCAGAGACAACAGGACAGTGAGCATGACCTGCACCCGCCTGTCACTGGAACAAAGGAAAGAGCTGAGCTTTGCAGAAGAGCCCAGAACCCAGGCCCTGCCCTGCCCTGCCCTGCCGTGAGGACAGTGTAATCTGCAAGGGTTAGGGACATGAGAAATGGTATTTCATTCGCACCTAGCCACATCAAACTGTCCCAAACTGTTTTTAGGAGTGTGAGAGGACTACTTAAAACAGGAATTTTAAAAATTTGTGAGATTATTCTTCAAATTTTATACAAATAAATAAAAGCATGTAAATGAAATAGTTAATTACTTAGAAAATATTATTTACCAAAACAATTCAATTACCAATAGAAAGCTTTGGTAGCCCACTTTTTACAGAATAAATAGAGAAAAATTTATAGGATTTTTTTCCCACAACTATAGCACCAGCCTAAAGGGTCTCCTCGTATATAAAAATTTACAAACACCATGCATTTGGTCTATAAAAAATTGAGGTGGATTTCCTAATTATTTTTCTGAAGCAAATGCAACATTGATGCTTAAATATAACATACAAACATTAGTGCGCCACCACTCTCTGGCTAAGTCCACATCTCTTAGTGAAGAATCCCTGGAGTGGTTTCCAGTAAGACTGGGAAGAAGGCAAGGGAGTCCATTATCTCCACTACTGTCTGTTATTGTGCTGAACATGTGAGCTAAAGCAGCCGCATAAAGGAAACCAGTGAGAAGCACTGAATTAGAAGACATAAAGTAAAACCATGTCTATCTGCAGTGTATCTAAAAAATGTAAGAGAGTCAATGTTCAAATTAATCCAAGCAATAAAAAACTAAGCTAGTTAGAAAGGTTATAAAATTAAAGCACAAGCCCCAGTAACCCTTAGATACACAAAAATAAGTAAAATATGTAATTATGAATAAATCCCCACTTATATTAATAATGATAAAATGCATAGAAATAAACTTTTCAAGGTGCCTGAGAGACAAAGCAGACATGAGCAAATGGGATGGCAGCCCTTGTTCCTGGGTAAAGACTCAACATCATACAGATGTCAGTTTTCCCAAAATTTATTTATTTATAAATACTTTAATAAAAACTCTCTCTCTCTCTCCATATATTTGAAAAACAATCACGTTTCCAGGAACCTGATGTTTTGGGGTAAAAGCCACTAAACCATTCTACAGAATGTCTAGAACTGAAAATGTGAGCTGTTGGTACCTATATAAAACGGATTAGCAGGCTGGAGAGATGGCCCAGAGGTTAAGAGCACTGACTGCTGCTCTTCCAGAGGTCCTGAGTTCAATTCCCAGCAACCACATGATGGCTCACAACCATCTGTAATGAGACCTGGTGCCTTCCTCTGACATGCAGGCAGAACAGTGTGCACATAATAAATACATCTTTAAAAAATAAAAGGGGAATAGCTGACTAGAACAGAAATTCAGACTCAAAGCTCAAGTGCATGTGAGAATTTGGTGTACGATGGAGGTGTTATCCTAAGTCTAAATTTGGGGCAGTGCTGGGCTCTTTGATGAAATGGTGACAAACAAGCCAGTTATTCCATGCATTTCTGCTACAGGGATTTAGCAAAAAGATAACATGAGACCTTTACCAGCTACATAAAAACAAACAGAAAACTCCAGGTTAAAAAGAAGAGCAGAAGAAACAAACACAAAAGAATTCCTCTGTGGACTGGGTATGCAGAAAGACCACAACAATGAGGAAGTCTTAGTAAGTTATACTATGAAATTTTAAAAATATTTGCATGATCAAACATGACTGATAATTCATTTTTTGAATGTATGTTCTTTAGAGGAACTCTTTTACCCCCTCCCCCACCAAATGTCAGCTTAAATATACCACAAAAGTGATGCCATCTTCCCTAATGAGCCATTATAAAATTTCACTTAAACGTAGTATGGGGAAGGGAAAGGACTGGTCATGGGAGGTGAGGGAGAGCTCTCTTTATATCAGTGCTGGCTCCCACTTTACCTTCTTTAGTTTGGCATGTGCTCCGATGTGGTTTCCCTGTGCCAGGTCTGCCCTGCCCAGGATCCGGTATGTCTCTGCCACCTCAGGGCTGAAGTCACCGAATGCTCCTACTTTGGCTTCCAGAGACTCTCTCAGGATCATGATTGCTCTCTGAGAAAAGGACAAAATGCTGTGTGGTTTAAAAAAGTCAAAGGATGCTCAGTGGTTAAGGGGACTTGTGATTGTTGCTAAGGCCCCAGCTTGGGCTCTCAGCGCCCACGTGGTAGCTTACAACCTCTGTAACTCCATTTCTGAGGATCCATCATTGCCCTGCTCTGGACCCTGCAGGCATCAAGCATGCAAGTGGTACACAGATATACATGAAGCAACATACAGAAAGAAAGAAAGAAAGAAAGAAAGAAAGGAAGGAAGGAAGGAAGGAAGGAAGGAAGGAAGGAAAAATCTTTTTTAAAAGTTCAAGGGTTTAGTAAGATCCGTGCCTCTCAGGAAAAATCATGAATTGATACACATTTAACATTTCAGAGAAGTGTTCTTAAGCCGGGGCACTGTCTTCTGGGGAGAGAAGGTAAAAGCTAAGAAGAGAGAAAGCAACATGGGCACTGTGTCAGCTATGGCTAAAATCTGTTCCACTGAGCAGCAAGAGCAGAATGAGGCTGCATGGAACCGTATGTGTCAGGGGCTCAGTTTATGTGTGATCTGATATGATTTATTCTTTAGATAGGTACAACCTTATCTTCTTCTGACCCAGGAGGAGGTCTAGGTGCAGAGCAGCAGCTGAGAACTTCCTCGTTCCTACAGGGGCTCATCAATGGTGGAGCTCATTGAAGGTGGAGCTGGAATCTGTTTCCCTAGCCCTTTTTTAGGTCCATGCTCTTCTCTCTCCCTGCACACTACTGATCGTGAGTAAGAGAAAACTAGGCTGTGCTTCTGGACTTTCTGTTCTCACGGTGAATGCTTAGGAAGCCGAAAGTAAACATTCCATGGAGCATGACATCATGCTTTGTCCTATTTATTTGTGCCAACATGGAATAGGAAAATAGGAGCTGGTCAGAAAATAATATTCCCCGATTATTAATGTTTGCAGATACTAAGACATACAGGGGGAAAGCCTGAACTTCCAACACATCCTGAAATTCTTACTGGATCTTCCACCTGAAAACATAGTTATGGTTGTACAACGTGAATGCTGAATTCAACAGTCAAATAAAGCCAGGACCACAGAAAGGGATTCCCATAGCATAGCCCTGGTATGGGTGGATGGGGGCACATCCCGATTCCATGTCGTAGACAGGCAGACATGTGAATGAAGAACATGGCTCCTTTTGGGCAGTAACGTGAGTTAGTGACTGGGTTGGCACATTAAGGGTGGTAATGAGCAGAAATCAACTTCTCAGGCAAAGCAACTGTGTAACTTGCCAAGTGTGGCTCATTGCAGCACTCAGAGGTCTGGGATCTCCATGCATCCCCCTCCCAACACCTGTGAGGTGGCTTTCCCATGGGATTTGACTGCTGGGCTTTGGGAAGTCAGTCAGTGATGGGGAGAAGGGCTGGAGGTTCTTCTCCTGAATGAAGCTTTTGACACTGCTTCTGTTGACTAGGGAGACTAGGATGGGTGCGTGTCAAGTTAAAAGACACATTCTGATGACAATGGAAAGCAGATGGGAAAACTTAATGGGAAGAACCAGAATTATTAAGAGCAGTCATAGCAGGGAGGTGTTAGAAAGGGGCAGTATGGGCTGGGGAGGCAGATGGTCTTTAAAAGTACCTCAAGCATAAGGGCCTGAGTTCAATCCCCAGAACCCACATAAAAATGCCGGCTGTGGTGGTGTGCACCTGTAATCCCAGAGCTAGGGAGGCAAAGACAGAAGGCTCCTGGAGCTTGCTGGGCAGTTGGTGGTGGCAAAACCTTTAATCCTGAGCACTCAGGAGGCAGAGGCAGGGGGAGCTCTTTGAGTTCGAGGCCAGCCCTGGACTATAGAGCGAGTGCCAGGATAGGCTTCAAAGCAATACAAAGAAACCCTATCTCAAAACAAAACAAAACAAAACAAAACAAAACAAAACATCAGCAGACTCTGGACATTGGGAGGGTCATGCCAGCTTTGCCATGAGGGTATTAAGGTTCATTGGAGAACCAAATGAGTGTTCGATGTTCAGGTGTGCTTTCAGAATCTGAACAGATTAAGGTAAAAGTGGGGAGGAAGCACCTGGGAAAGAGAAGATTCTAGAGTGGTCCTGATGAGATGATGGATGGTGGGAGGGGAAATGTTAAACCATGTGTGTGTTGAGGAAACTTGGAGGTGAATGAGGAACCTGTGAAGTCCCCATAGGACTAAGATGGAGTCTCGGGTAGGAATCCGAGGCCCTAGCAGGGCCCTGTATCTTTGGCTGGGTGATTCAGAAGAACAGTGAAACACTATTTGTTATGGTGACTGTGCATTTACTCTGGCCTGACAAATGGAATGAGTGCAGAATAAAAGCCCGTGGTCCTTAACTGAGAGAAAAGAAGTCAAGGATGAGGAAAGCGTAGTAGGGAGAAGACAACAAAGACAACTCCAGACAACAAAGAAAGACTACTTTTCATCTTCATCTCCAAGATCTGCTATGCTAGACTGAAAACACACATACACACATAACACACACACACACACACATACACACACACACACATACACACACACACACACACACACACCACACACATGGACACATCACATATACACACACATACCACACACACACCACACACATACACATACATCACACATGCACACACATACCACACACACACACACACACACACACACACACACACACACACACAAACATACACACATATAAATACACACACACACACCACACACCTCTAAATTATCTACTTTCTTTTCCTGGAGCTGCTCTGACTTACACGGAAATTTTTTTTAGTATACTATAAGCTCTGGCTTTGTCCTACCTTTCTAAGTCATGTTGAGCATGCCTTTACAGACCAGCAGCAGAGACAGTGAGCTGGGACCTCTGTGCTGGGTAGTTTTTGTTAGAAATGAAAATTCCATTCAATATACAGAAGAGGAAAAAAGGAATTGACCACACTGAGGGCCACAGACCACCCCAGCTGGAAGAACCTTGGGCTTCAGTGAGGGCTCTTGCCCACTGAGTTCTCAAGGTTTTCAACCCTTCGTGACCTTTTGTAGTTGGATGTAGCATTTAATTTCTCACTGTTTTGTTTCTAAGAGGAAGCATGTGGATGCTGCCTGAGAGTGGCTCCTTGATTTACTTACCTGGGTCTCTCCAGAGGCTAGGACATGCCCTGTATATACTAGGTGTTTAACAGATGGTTGAAGGCTGAAAGAGTAGTCTTTGGCATCCCGTAGGAATAGCTTGACAATTGTGATCTAAACTCACTTACTTCTTTTTGTCCAGTGATCTGCAGAAAATTGCAAAATTCATCTTGAATGGAAAGGAACTTGACTCTTCCTGCTCCTTCAGAATCCTTCACATGAGTCATGCTTTCCTGAAAATACTGCTCGGCCATATCTGAAAAGAGCACAGAAGAACATTTTGAAAATAGCTCAAAGATCCAAAGCAGAGATGGAGCAAATATGTTGTTAGTGACGGTGAAAGGTTTAAAAATAACCATTTGGATAAGAGAAGCCAGTTCGAGGGACTCTCTTGTGCCCGTTAATCTGCTCATTTTATCAGAAACTATTTTCACCTCAGAAGGATACAGCAAGCTATTTTTCTTGTTTTTCAGACATTTTAGTGTTCTTGGTGATATGAGGGGCAGGGAGGGGGAAGCTATCCCAGAGCCGAACACACTAGGATATTGATAGAACATTTTCTCTGCCTAGAAATCAGTCACTCCTCACAACCCATATAGTTCTGTGGACTCTTTATATTTCTTTAACACACACACACACACCAAAAAAAAAAAACAAAAACAAAAAACAAAACTAGAAAATCTAGCTGATACACTAGCGAAGAAAAATCCCAACCATTCTAAACTCTTTTGGGGGGCGAGTTTCAAGACAGGGTTTCTCTGTGGCTTTGGAGGCTGTCCTGGAACTAGCTCTTGTAGACCAGGCTGGTCTTGAACTCACAGAGATCTGCCTGCCTCTGCCTCCTGAGTGTGCTGGGACTCAAGGTGTGTGCCACCACTGCCTGGCTCCATTCTAAACTCTTAAACACACTGATTGATAAAATAAAAATGGTTTGACATAAATGATAATCAGAAGAGCAAGAGAAGGAAGATCGAAGGCATGGAAAATGGAAAGGGAATTGAAGACCAGAGCTGTGACTACACAACCCTCTGCTGTTGAAACAAACACCTGAGATAAATCAGCATAAAGTAAGGACAGCTAATGGTACTCACACTGTTGGAGGTTCCAGCCTGTGCCCCAGCCTGTGGCTCTGCTGCGTCCCGTGATGGGGCAATGGTAAGAGTGTCATGGTAACTAGAAGTGAAGGGAATCAGGGAGGGGCTGGGCTCCCATGTCACTGCCTAGAGGTTCTGCCACCTATCAATAGTGCCACAGGCTGGGGGCCAAGCCTTTAACACGGGGGTCTTGGGAGGATGCAGAGCCAAACTGTGACAAACAAGGAACTGAAGCTTAACAGTGAAAGGAAAAGAATCAGCTAAGGACCCCCAAGACCAAGTACTCAGCACAAAGGAGATTTATTTGTCCCAGAGGGACAGAGGACAGGGGATAAAAGACAAAGACAGAGGATAGAGGACAAGGGACAAGAGGAAGGGAACAAGGGAAAGGAGGCAAGGTTATTTGTCCCACAGGGACAAAGGACTGCCTCTGGATAGAGAGGAGACAGGTAAATCGCAGTTTATAATGGTAAAATGGGAAACCCGGTGTTAGGAGGAGGTGTTTTGTGGGGTCTTCAGAAAGGGCAGAAATCAGCACATGGGAAAGTATCTTCTGGGTCCGCACGACTGCAGAAAGCTTGGGTCTGGAAACAGGTAGGAGCTATGTCTCCTGGGCATGTCCCATCCCAGGCTCATTAGGTGCATCAACAGTAAGTGACCTAGGTATCCCGAACTTTATCCCAGACCAGCAGGGATGTCCCTGAAGTAGCCTCAAGTCTTATGGACAAAAGTTCTCCAACGTGGAAAGCGTCATATCTCTTTACTCATTGCTGACCCCTCAAAGTATCGACTCTGATTCACTTTGATAATCTGACCACAGAGTTGGGGGTGGAGTGACGAACATAACACCAACATTCCGAGTCTGATGTGACTGGGGTTTTCAGGAGTGGAGGGCACTTGATATTTTGATTTGCTAACTAATCCGGAACCAATATAAGAACACAGGCCAACCTTTGAGAGTAAAACAGAACTAGTTGGATGGGCAGGTCTGGTGGTGTATGACAGTAACCCAGCACTCCCTGTCCTTGGTTTGCTCCTGGAAGGTCTCTACTCACAGGAGAAAAAAATAAGGCTAGGGAACAGTGTGTCCCTGATAGCAGGTATCGCAGGCAAGTTGACCATGTCTGTAATGACACGTCAAGACCCTTGTTTCATGGGATGTTCCAGAACTCAGGAACAAAGTGACAGGAGGTGGGTGGGTGGGGGGGTTCTCAGACCTTGACAGTGATATTCTCCCTGTCTGTAACTCTAAAGCTACTTCATCTTTATCTGGGGTAAAGGAAAACTCTTTTATTCCAAGACCCCTACTTCCTTCTCTCACCTCTCCAGGTCCTAAATGAACTTCGAACCATGGTTACATGGCCAGCCTTTGAGGAGAGAACAGAGTGCATGCTGGTCCACTGCAGAAGAGTCCTGTACTGACAGGGATTATTTTCTGGGGCTGGGATGGTGAGGAGAGGCATCCCAGGCTCATCTGGAACAAAGGACAAGAGACTTTCTGAAGAGAAGGGAAGTCATCTCCCCACTTGTTCCTGTGTTCTGAAGCCAGGACACTCCACAGAGAGCCGGCAAGCAGCCCAGCACATGGCCATCCTTAGCTTTAAAAAGCACTTCTAGAATCCTCTGCAATGTGATGCCGGGAGCCTGGGCAAGGATGAAGTCATACTCCGAAACAAACACGGGAGCGTGGCTCCGCCGGTAAATCTGAGCCCTGATGGCAGAGGTGAGCCAGGACCATAAATCTCCTCCCAGTCCCACTCCAGCTGAGGGTTTGGGTTGTCTATGAGTTCTAGAGCTGGGGGAAGGGGGCGGGTAGGTAGTGATGCTGTGGACAGACATGTTAACCATCTCTATAGAGAGCTCCATCTGGGGACTTGAAGCCAGATAGACTTGCATGGAGAGGTTTTTAACACAGAAAAAAGAAGACAAAACTTTGTTCAAAGAGCCAGAGATTAGAAGGCTGAAGAGAGGTCCAATGGATGCCAGGAAGCTTAAAAAAACTCTCCGTCTCTGTCTCTGTCTCTGTCTCTGTCTGTCTGTCTGTCTGTCTGTCTCTCTCTCTCTCTCTCTCTCTCTCTCTCTCTCTCTGTGTGTGTGTGTCAGTGTACCTGTGACTGAGGACAACTTTTAAGTGTTGATTCTGCCCTCCCTTCCACCATTTGGGTCCCTGCTGTCAAACTCAGATGGTCAGGCTCGGATGCAGCAGCATCATAGGGATGCACCTCCTTCCCCTGGTCAGGAGCTTCTAACTGAAATAAATCCCAGTTTGTCTGGGCTTCAATTGCCTGAGGCTGTTCTGAGGCAGGGGGAGGGGTGGTAAGGGCAGCTTCATTATGTGGGAGGGCTGCACCATCAATGTGGCAATTACCTTTTGTAACAGTCTCAGAAAACAGTCTTTATACTAACTAAGCAAGGCTCTAAGGACTCCACGAAATTCAAAAGGAGGAAGTCTCTAATCCTGGCCTGACCTTCACCCCGAAAACTGAACCATTGAGGCCATGGTGGGAGCTGCTACCCCCAGCCACCCATCACCTGTGGGGGGCCATGGGGGAGGCCTGGGGACTCACCCCTTACTTTTCTCACACATCTGACCCCACACAGTGGGAGGCTGCGCTGCCAAACTTGCTGTACAATCCAAGGAAGTTCATATGTGTTGCTGGGGGCAGCTGTGTATCAGAAAGCATGGTGGCTAAATGCACACCACGCCAGGAGAGGCTTGCAGGGCATAAAGGTGAAAAGTGTCCTCACAGGGCTTAGCAGAGGGCTCACACACCATGGGATCTGCTTGCATTGGGATCCTCACTACTCAGAGCAGTCTAGACTCCACGTTCCCAACAATCTACCTGGCAGAGTCCCATGCAGAGCCACATGGGTAGAGGTTAGCACTGGGCAACCTTAGGCCTCCAGAGCTTTAGTTGAGGGAAGCACATGTGTTCTCCAAAGAGCTGCCTTTAAAACCCTTCTCAAAAGCTTCCGGGTAGAAATAGCATAGTGTGAAAGTGACCATCATAGGCTGTCTACTTCATCCAGCCCAGAAATGGCACAGAGGCCACCAGCATCACTCTAGACACACGGGAAAGAAGGCAACCATCCAGGTAGGGTTCCTGAGGTTTGTGCTCCGCCCTGGGTTGTTCTCTAGGAAAAAAAGGTCAGGCAACCCAGGCTGTACTTCCACTGGCCTCAAGAACTGCTGAATGAACAGCCCCTACTTGAGCTCTGGTGTGGGGTTACTTGTCCCAATAGCACTGGGGGTGTGACATTCACGATGTGACCACCTTTCTGGGTGGAGGGTATGGGGAGGAGACAGTACATGGTCTCCATTCTAAAGCCTTGGGCTGTCTTTGATTATTTACTGAATGAACTTGCACTCCAGTTCTCCAGAGGCAAGGAGGACTTCCAGAAGTTTTCAAGAGGGGACTCGTGGTGCTGGCAAAAACAAACAAACAAAAACAAAACAAAAAAACAGTGAGAAGCTCCTTCTCCTGGCCCTCATCCATTTCTTCCTTGCTTCCAGGGGCTCACAGGCAGGCATGTGCAGGCTGGCCAGGCATTCTTATAAGCAATGAGTCCTGAGGAGAGGGGTGGGGGTGAGGCAGGTTCTCTCAGAGCACACAGGGTGCCAAGGTGTGGGAAGGCTGAGGAAGAGAAGGAGGTCAAGTAGAACAACATGAGGACAAAGGGACACAGTGTCACCAGTGGTGCTCTCAATTTCTGCCAGCAGGACTATACAGTATATGCCACAGGCTCCACCATGGTGGCCTCAGGTGAGGGCTTGGAGGAACAAGCTAAGGAGGGCCACAGGAAGGTGAAGGCTATGGACAGTGGCTGTTCCCAGGTGCCATGTTACCTGCCAGGAGTCTGCAGGCTCCAACAGCTACAAATGCCTGGGACCACCTGACTTACGGTCTCTCAGAACACCCGGGGCATTATAACTGGTAACCACTGTGTGGAGGAGGGGTATGGTGTGCCCACATAGCAAGCAGGGCACAGGAGGAAGAGTTGAGAAAAAGTATGGAAGGTCAAGGAGACCCACCCAGGTAATTACTTTAAAAAATAAAAAGCTTCAGAAACTTTTTTTTTTAATTTCTACCTATGCAAAATGTAGGGAGATGCTAGGGCCAGTCTGGGCTGGGAAATAAATGTATTTGTATATAAGGAATTATACACAGGGAACCCAGTTACTCAGAAATCCCTAGGCTCCAACTGGGGCAGACACCATTCCCTCTGCTGACTTGGGGACCCAGAAGAACTCCTTAGCCTGCTGGCGCCTGGGGGACCACATGGGGCCACTTCCAAACAAGGCTGCCTCCACTGAGCAGGCCCTGCAGCATGAAGGTTTACACTGAAATGTACTTGGCTTTGTACCATTTCATCCTAATATCCTTAAGGAGAAGCGTTATAAAAACAAGGCCAAGGCCCTGGACATGCAGCAGGGTTGGGAGAGCTGTTAATACCAAGTTTGTCTATGGCTGCTCTGGGAAGCTGGCCAGGCCCAGGTTAGTGACATTCCACGAGCCTGAATTGGGAATCTTCACGCAAGCCCAAGCCTCCCAGACTTCTAGGGCAGTTTTGTCTGCTTGAGGAGTGAAGGATGGCGCAGGGCAAAGGCACCAGCTCCAGCGTGTGGTCTGAAACACTTAGTTCCGGGCCAGCAGCATCGCTTGTTAGTAGACAATGCCTTCAATGGGCATCCAGCAAGAGAGGAGCAGGCTGGTGATGGGAAAATCCCCAAACGGGAAATTATGCTTTTTAAAGATTCTATTGTTTTGTTTTCTCTCAAAACAAAAGCAAAGCCAAAAGTCTATGTTAGGTATAAACAGTTTTAAACATAAAAGAACAAAGACCAGATTGCTCCCTTGACACTCTGAAAGACAAGCAGGCTTGCTTCTGATGGGCTCTGGCTAGGACTTGGGGACTAGAAGTAACCACAGTCCAGGTCAGAAAGTCCTGGGTGGGTGAGAGCAGGGGCAGAGATGGGGTGGGGTGGGGATGGACTCTAGCTCCCTAATTTTCCAACAGTCCTCCTCCCTTTCCCCTGCAGGGGGCAGCAGAGGCCTGAACAGTCCTCAGCCCTCGGTGGCTCTCTCAGTCTTGCCATGGTGGCTTCCACCATGTAAAGGGACAGCAGAGCGATGGCAGGAAAGATAGGAGACTGTGCTTGCTTGGTCTCCAGCTGTATTCTCTGCCTGTGGTGTCTGTCCTGTTTCTGCTTCCAGAGGGAAGTTGAATCCCTGGATCCCAGTCAGGCTGGTCTTGCTCTGCCCATGCCACACAGCACTCTGGCAGGTACAGGCCAGGACAAAGTCGGGTCTCCGGGCCCTGGCCTGGCCAGCTTGCTTTCCAGCCTTGGAAAGCTTCATCTGCCACCGAGGGAGCAGAGACTCTGACAATAGCAGGGTTCAATGGTTGGAATAATGGTGGGTAGAGGCGAGAGGTGTTCTCCACACAGGTACTCATTTCTGATTTGTTTGGGCCATGGGGAAGAGGGTTTGTTTGCTTTGCACAGCTGTTCTGGGGTTCACATTGTTACTGGACAACTGGCATGGCAAGTCTTTCTACCCCATGGGCTTCTCTGTCAGCATCCTCACTTAGTATGTCCTTATCTTAGCTTCAATAGCCAAATTTCCCATCAAATAACAGAATTATTACCAGGGTGATAGCTGTCCTCTGATGGGCAGGTGCTGAATCTGAAGTGGACCAATCAAAGAGCAGCCCTCCGGTTCATCTGAACTTTGTCCTTTTGGTGTAGGGCAATGAGGACTTGGTGGGAGGAGGCGGGGGGGGGGGGGGGGGGGAGAGAGACAGAGGCAGACACAGAGAGGAGCTTCTCTAGACGGAGATAACATTCTGGTAGGAAGAACTGGCTATGGGAGTGTCTTTGAAAAATCGGAGGTGATACCCTGCTTCTATGGACTGTGAAAGGTATTAAGAGCAGTTGGTAAACACCCCAGCACTGCATATAGTTGTCACTGCTGTCACAGCTGGGACATTTGCTCCCTGTGCTTCTGGAGTCATTTGTCTCCCTGTCTAGTCTCCAGCCCTGGCCCTCTCTACTGCCGTTGCACTTCTCACACACCTCAGCTCTGACCAGGACAGAAGCCCTCTGGATGCCAGTCAAGAAATTCTCTGCAGCCACAGGGTTATGGGGCTGGGGTGGATTGAGATCTTGAGCAGGCTTCTGGGTCCTAGCCCTTCCCAGTGGCTCTCCACACCCTTGTTTTTAGGCTGCCGTCACTTACCCAAGGTCCCATGTTTGCTACAAACTCCACAGACTCTTGCACAGGGGTAGGGAAAGAAAGGAGGACAGTCCTTATGTATAACAATTGATAAAGGGTATCTGGAGACGACCATCTGGGATCCAGACCTTGATCACTCAATGGCTTGGAAAAGTTGCCTTTTCTATTGAATCTTTATCTAACTGGAGCTGAGTAAAGCAAGGCCCGTGTGTCCTGTGCAGGTATGAGCTATTTAGTACTCAGGTTATCTGTATCATACAGGTGTTGTTATCACTCCCACTTTGTAGGGGAGGCAAACCCAGCTGTATTTATACAAAAAAAAAAAAAAAAAAAAAAAAAAAAAACCAAACACACACACCTACCTCAATTTGGATTGTCACCAATTCTATGAAGGGCAAAGCAAATGGGTCTAACTTAGAGCTTTGGGACAAGACCATCTCTGTGCATAACTTCTGTTGGCCATCATTCAATTCCTACAGTCCAGAAGGAGTCAGTCCACTGTGTACTGGGTGGGGCTGGGAATCAGGACAGCCTCCAGGCAAGAAGACTGCTTTTAGCCTTTGCCTCTTCTACCCATTAGGATCATCAGAACCTTCCAGTTGTCTTAATCTAGGAACCACTAAGATGTGTCCTCACCTTAAGGTTTTTGTTACTCAACTTCCCATCAAATTGCCACTGTTGTTACCAAGCTGATAGGTGTTTCAGGTGTCCTCTGGGCCACCTGGGACCAAAGCAGTCCCGACACTCATTTTAACCTTAAACATATCTGAGCTAGCTACAGTCAACCAACAATTGGAGATTTCATATGAAGCTCCAAATTCTTCCTTCTCTGGACAGTAGAATCTGCCTGCCATGTGGAGCCATGTTGCTAAGGCAAAATAGCTAAGTAGAGGCTTCTTTAGTTTGCCATGGTCCTCACCACTCTGTATTGTCTCTTGTTCTATAGTCACGGTTATTTGTCACTTGCTTAAGTTTCCCATAACTACCTGATACGCTCATACTGTCTAGATGTTGGATTGCTGTAGACATGGGGGTTCCTATAGATATCTGGGTTGTGTGAGACTCCTGAACTCTCAAATAATTGTATTTTCAATATTTGATTAAGATTGGTGGGCATCTCTTTCTCCCATTAAATGAGTGGAAGACAACAAAAAGCTGGTTAAGCCTGGGGCTCTTTGATGGTTTTTGAGGCTCATTTGACTACCTTGCATATAATTCATTTGGCTCCACCTTCCATCTCTGGTCAGACTCTTCATCTCAGGTCTGCTGGGTGAGCTAGGTATGCAGGAAGAGGGTAACCTATGGAACCCTGCACCAGCTCCTGCACAGACCAAGTCTACGGCCTTCTCAGACCAGGTTGTTCCTTGGGTTTCCCTTCACCTCCTACGTTTGGCCTGCTACCCTGACCCCTGCTTCCTGAACTGACTCCACACTCTCCTGACCTGATTTCTGGCACCCTGGAATCAATAATATTCATGATGATTTCTATCTGATATCTTGTACTATATCTATATTCTTCCGTGTAGGCCACATACCATTTCTGAATAGTTAGGCCCTACCATTATCACTAGAATGTGTCTCTTGTCACACATAGGGTGGAGGAGGGGAGAATCCCCAAAATTCCATGTTCTAACTATCCTGCCAAGAAAAGAAAACACATATTGAGTGGCAGCTTCCTTTTGAAATACTGATGCTGTATACGTTTACCCAGGCTGAAAGCTCTGTTGAATGAGCTTGGAGTTCAGAGCTGTTGCTTTGATAGCTCAACAGCCTTTAAAATAGTTGCCCCGGAAAAGCAGAGATGTCCCTATCTGCCGGCCGTGCGTGAATTTCCCATGGTGATTTGGATGAAAGTGACATTCTGAAGGGAAAAGGTGACAGATAGAGGAAAGCCCAGGGAAACCACAGGGCAGAGGAATCATGCCACAGCCTCACCCACTGGTGACGCATGCCCAAGCCACTTGTGTAGAAACGGGGGGGGGGGATCTGTTCTCACCACGGTGGTCTTGCTTCCCAGAAGCAACAGCAGCCCGGGCAATAAAGTGTGCGGAATCTGCAGCCTCCTCTGGGGAGGGATTTTTACTCAGGACGATGAGATGTGCCTGTCACCACAGAGAGAAGAAACAAGTTGTTTACATGCTTGGCAGCAGCAATAGGAAACCGTCCTTGCAGTGATAAGCAGGAAGCCAAGGAACTTTCCAACAAGCTGGAAGGGATGATTGATGAAGACGTGCAATTGACTTTGGGGAATTTGAAAAGCATTGGGTGGAGGCCAGAACCCTGGATGCAGAATCCACTTGGCTAGAAATCGTTGCTGGAGGCAATCCCTGAAATAAATCCTTTAAAAGCTTATGGTCACTTGACTCAGCAAAGTCCACCAAGATGGGGGCTGGGGGGTTGGGGCGGCTGGTGGGTGTAGGGGAGCTGAGGTTTTCAGAAGTGGAAAGGACTAATGAGGTGCAGAGGAAGCCGGCGAGCTCCTGGCCTATCGCTCAGCCAGGCCGTGGGTCCTAACTGCAGAGGGGCAGCCTGCTGTCTGATCACCAAGCCCACCTGCCTCAACGCTTTGCAACAAGGTCCACAGGGAGCTTCCTCAGCGTGGAGAACTGCTCAGGTTCTTTGCAATGAAGTTAATTTTAAAACTGCTCAATTAAAAAAATTATATCCTAAAAACACAATATTAAAAAAAATTTCAAATAAATTATCAAATATAACCCTTCAAAGAAAATGTTACTAATCATCTCCTTGTCAACCTTTAGAATTGAAAAAAAAAAAAAAAAAACTGGGGCCAGAGAGATGGCTCCTTGGTTAAGAGTGCATACTTTTCTTGCAGAGGACTGGAGTTTGATTCCCAGTACTGACATCAGGCAGCTCACAAGTGCCCATAACTTGAAGAGGACCTGAGTTTGATTCCCACCTATCAACATCTTGATTTGAAAAAAATTGGGGCCAGAGAGATGGCTCCGTGGTTAAGAGAGCATACTTTTCTTGCAGAGGACTGGAGTTTGATTCCCAGTACTGACATCAGGCAGCTCACAAGTGCCCATAACTTCAGCTCCAGGTGATCTGACACATAGACACACAGACACATACACACACTCACATTTGTGTAGGAGGGAGGGAGGAGGTCTGTTCTCACCTTGTGCGCTTTGCCCCCCCACACACACAAAATAAGTAACCATTAATATTTAAAAATACAGTGAGTAACATGTTTACATCCCTCAAATGATCACTTGAAGCATGCCTACTGGACAAGCTGTGGAAAGCTGGGCTAACTGTGGTGAAACCATATACGATACACTCAGGATACTCTTGGGATCATTGCCAAAGAGGGAATATTTGTTACTTTTCTTGTTCTTGTGACAGAATACCTGACACAAACAACTGACTCTAGCTCACAGTGTGACAGTGGATACAGTTGTCATGGTGGAAAGGAATGGTGACAGGAGTGCCAGCTGTTGGCCACACTGTGTTTCCGTTCTGAAGAAAGAGAAGGTGCTGGGACTATCAGGCTTTCTCCTTTTCCTTTCTACTCTGCCTGGGGCCCTACTGTGTGGGAGGGAGCTAACCACATCCAGGATGGGTCTTCCGGCTCGCTCTGTTACACGTATACTCTGGAAACCCCCTCATAGACATCCCCAGAGGTGTAACTGTTAGGAGTCTGCATCCAGCCATGTTAACCTCACAGAGTGACATGGAGAGGAAAACACTAGTCTGGGCAGGCAGAAAGTGACAACCACCACAGAGATTCAAGCTGTACTTTAGTTATTTCTCATTTGCAACACAACACTTAATTTTGGGGATACTTTCTATGATTTTCAGTTTACATATGAAAACAGAGTGCTGAAGGGGTCTGCTGGGTACTACTGAGAGGTGGTGGAACACTTGAAGAGGTGGGGCCTAGTGGGTGATTTTAGGTCAGGAGAAGCTCGCTCTGAGAGGGGATTATGGGACTCCAGGCTCTTCCTCTTTCAGTTTTTCTGGCCACTGTGAAGTGAGCAACATGAACTCCAGCCTTCAAAATACTGACCCAAATAAACCTGTCTTCTCATTTCAGTGGACAGTCTTCAGTTACCCACAATGGAACACCGACAGGGCAAATGGTCCAGATATCTCACACTAAAGGCTGGAGGTAAGCTCTGGCTTTGATACGCCACAGACCTCAAATTCGGCTTGTTGTACCATGTCCTGAATGCTGCTATTCACCCATCAGCCACAGAGTGAGACAGGCCGACTGACACCAGTACACTGGCAGTAGCCATGGCTTCAGAAGTGAAGCAGCGGTCCCAGTAGGGCCTTCTGGACTACACCAAGTGGTACTCAACGCCTCTGAGGGTATCTCCGAGATAATCAAGACAGAGGTGCTCCTGCAACAGTAGACTGCCTCATTTGTTAAATCCGAGTCCTGTGTTAGAATCCGGACGGCCAAAGCTTGGACCTGATTGTCCCAGCCCCTCCTGCTGGCAAAGGCTTTGGCTGCTGTGTTGGAACACCCAGCGTTCTTAAGCACGAAGGCCTGGACTTAAAATGGCTTTTCTCACTACTGGAATTCTTCGGAAAGAATTGAACAAGGGACCCAGGGAAGCCCAGAGTAGTCACCAGTTTCAAATTGGCACAAGAAAAGTCTGTTCTTAAATTCTGATTTGAAATATTACTGAAATAATAGGTATTTCAAAATTACAGTTTCATGGATGTTCAGACTACAGAGCTGAAGGGTAGAATCGAGCTATCAAGGGTTCAGCATTTTCAGGAAGAAAAGAAAGAGTAAAACTGCCCCCCCCAAAACCATGAAAACCATGTGGGCAGACTGTGTGCGCCACTGGCTATGCACCCCCAGGGTCCACTGCTGGAGGAGCTTCTGCAGGGCTCTCAGGAAGCCTTCCCCGGGAACTTTACAAAGACTCAACCCATTAACATGTGCTGTTTGAGACCAAATAAAACTCCAATTCAAAGATTTTCTGTTTCCTTTCTACTATCTATCATATGCAAGGAAGGTAGTAAGACCGCCTATCACAATTATTTTCAAATGAATAATTACATGTTCTGAAAGGACCACAAGCTGCTTTCTGACTAGAGGCACTAAAGTGACACTTTCCAGTCACAAAACAACAACAATTAAACACCACTTACAATATCAAGAAAACAGGCACCAAAGGCTTAGGGCAAAAGTTCTCAACCTTCCTGATGCAGTGACCCTTTCAGACAGTTCCTCATGTCGTGCTGACCCCCAACCATGAAATTATTTTTATTGCTACTTCATGACTGCAATTTTGCTACTGTTGTGAATTGTAATGCAAATATCTGATATTAAGGATATTTGATATGGGACCCCTGTAATAGGGTTTTTCCGGCCTCAAAGAGGCTGAGACCCACAGGTTGAGAACCACTGGCTTAGGGGCTCTGAATTCATCACACAATTTTCTGACCTCAACACTTTCCTATGTGAGATGTTTATACTGTGCAAGCGAACATTGATCACTTGTTTCCTAAGTTCAGTTTCCGATCTAATTTATTACTTACTGTTCAAGAAGCTTCTTAAAACTACATGCTGGAGGGAGGGAGGAGTGGTGCAGAACACCCAGGGTGTTTAAAATGTTTCAAATTAGCATCTCATTTATTCAGTAAAAATTCCATTCATTTCAGCTTAGTCTAATTTATTCCTATTTGGCTCAGTGTTATTTTAATTTTGAAGTGCTTTCCACTTGCCAGATATTGTGCTAACACTAGGAGTTCACACAAGAATATCAAGCTGGTTTCAGTTCTAAAGGAGATCACAGATGAACCACAAAAATATGGGGTGCTTGGATTTGTGGAGACATACAGACACTTCTTACTATGTTTTTGCACTCAGCTAACTTTCTCTCTGCATCCCAACTGTTACAATTTTTAGTAGATATAGAAGGGAGGGGACAGTGGTACCTGCATACAGGTTAACCAACAGAATGATCTTGTGCTCAGGTGTCCAACCCCACGTCCAAGGGCTTTACTATCTTACACCAGAAGAACAAAGAGGGGATGTTCTTTGTAAATGGAAAGATGAGTGGTAAGACAAGAACAGTAACTTTTAGCACCCTGGTGACCCATAGGGGGGATCCAGGGACACCTTCCCCCCCCCCACCTCCCCACCCCTGCTGTGCAAGGCTACTCTCCTTCCCTTGTTCAGGCTGTGTGACTGTCAGTCAAGAGAACTGTGATCCTGTACTGCTTCCGCCTCTGGGGTGCAGAGCAGGACTAAGCAGCACAGAGAACATGGAATGGAACAGAAGGGACACATTAAAACAACAAATGTCCCCACTCACATTGTGCGTCTCCGGCATTTGACAGACTCGTTTCCTCTCTGTGCTATGATTGACTCCCCAGGGTTCTGTTTGCGCCCTTGATGTCAGAACTAGTTACTCACTGACACCTCCAGTTCCCAGGTTCTGGAGCTGTGGCTCTATTGCATCTAGATAGCTGCTAGTGCTCTATTCAAGCGCCTCTCATGTTCTGCCTTCTCTTCAGAGTGCAGCGCCCATCATCTATCAAGAAATCCTCAACCCCACACAAGCATAATTTGAGATGACAAAAATGGGGATCCTTCTAAGTATCCATTAGTAAGGAAACAAATGTATTTTGGCTTTAGTATGATAATTTATCTCTGTGGACATATATTAACCTGGTTACATTTCAGAAACACACACACACACAAAGGCAACTTGCAAAGGGATGAAGACACCAAAGCACCAGTGATTTTCAGCCCTCTTTTCCTTCTTATTCTGCACAATGTGTCATACATGGTTCTCTGACATCTGGGGAAGTGTGGCACTTCTCCCATTGAAGCTGGTGGAGCAGCCTGGATACCTGCCCCCTTCCCCCCATTTCCTCTTCCACCTGGCTGCTATGAAAGGGTCTCCATGGGACATGAAGGATAGGTGACAAGGCCTGAGAAGGACAGCACTTGGGTCCCCAGGGGAACATGAAAAGTAACTGACAACAAGGCTGGTGATTTTGCAGTCCTGAGGAACTCAAGCACAGTGAAGAAGTGAATCCACAGCCCCTCTGCATGTGAGTGAGAGCACGGGAGGGCCAGGAAGCAGTGACCATGACGACAAGAGTTCTGCAT